AATATTAAAGGGGACTCTTTGAGTGTAAGACAGATCAAGAGTGACAAAGACAAGAAAGGATCAGAGAAAATCTCCAGAAACAATGACAAAACAAGTAATAAAATAGCAATAAATACATACCTATCAATAATTACTTTGAATGTTAATGGACTAAATGCTCCAATCAAAACACATACAGTGTCAGAAAGGGTGATGTTGTATGGAAGTGCTGAATCACTATATTGTATACCAGAATCTAATAATACACTGCATGTTACTTAACTAGAATTAAAATAGGAACTTATTTATTTTTTAAAGATTTTATTTATTTGAGAGAGTGAGAGCCAGAGAGCATGAGAGGGGTGAGAGAGCACGAGCAGGGTGAAGGGCAGAGGAAGAAGCAGACTCCCCACTGAGCAGGGAGCCCGATGTGGGGCTCGATCCTGAGACTCCAGGTTCATGACCTGAGCTGAAGGCAGATGCTTAACTGACTGAGCCACCCAGGCGCCCCTAAAATAAGAATTTAAAAAGAAGAAAAATAGACAGAGGGTGTCAGAATAGATTTAAAAAACAAGACCCATCTATATGCTGCCTACAAGAGACTCATTTTAGACTTAAAAACACCTGCACATTAAACGTGAGGGGATGGAGAAACATTTATCATGCAAAAAAATGTCAAAAGGAAGCTGGTAGCAATAGTTATATTGGACAAACTAGACTTTACAAGAAAAACTATAACAAGAGAAAAAGAAGGGAACTATGTAAACATAAAGGGGACAATCCAACAAGAAATAACAATTGTAAATATTTATGCACCCACCATGGGTACATCCACAGACAGAAAACAGTTAATAACATACATAAAATAGCTAATGGATAATAATACAATAATAGTAGTAACACCCCACTTACATCAATGGACAGATCATCTAAACAGAAAATCAACAAGGAAACAATGGCTTTGAGTGACACATTGGACCAGATGGACTGAACAGATATATTCAGAACATTCCAACCTAAAACAACAGAATACATTTTCTTTTCAAGTGAACATGGGACATTCTCCAGAATAGATCACATATAAGGTCACAAAACAGTTCTCAATAAATACAAATAGATTGAAGACACATCATGCACCTTTTCTGACCACAACACTATGAAACTAGAAGTCAACCACAAGAAAAAAATCTGGAAAGTCCACAAATACACGGAGGTTAAATAACATGTTACTAGACAATGAATGAGTCAACCAGGAAATAAAGAAGATGTAAAAAGATACATGGAAACAAATGAAAATGAAAACACAAGTCCAAAACATTTGGGATGCAGGAAAAGTAGTCCTAAGAGGGAAGTATATAGCAATACAGTCCTATCTTAAGAAGGAAGAAAAGTCTCAAATAAACAACCTAACTTTACATATAAAGGAACTACAAAAGAACAACAAAGCCTAAAGCCAGCAGAAGGAAGGAAATAATAAAGATTAGGGCAGAAATCAATGATCTAGAAACAAACAAAGGAAAAACAGTAGAACAGATGAATGAAACCAGGAGCTCTCTGAAAAAATTAATAAAATTGATAACCCCCTAGCCAGACTTCTCAAAAGGAAAATAGGAGGACCCAAATAAATAAAATAACAAAAGAGAGAGGAGCAATAACAACCAACCTCACAGAAATACCAACAATTATAAGAGAATATTATGAAAAATTATATGCCAACAAATTGGACAACCTGGAAGGGATAAATTCCTAGAAAGATATAAATTACCAAAAAGGAAACAGGAAGAAATAGAAAACTTGAACAGACCAATAACCAGCAAAGAAACTGAATCAGTAATAAAAGAACTCTCAACAAGTAAGTCCAGGTCTGGATGACTTCATAGGTTAATTCCACCAAACATTTAAACAGAAGTTAATACCTATTCTCAAACTATTCCAAAAAAATAGGAAAGGAAGGAAAACTTCCAAATTCATTTTATCAGGCCAGTATTACCCTGATATGAAAACCAGATAAAGACACCACAAATAAGAGAACTACAGGCCAATATCTCTGACAAACATAGATGCAAAAATCCTCAACAAAATACCAACAAACCAAATGCAACAATACATTAAAAAAAATTATACACCACAATCAAGTGGGAATTATTCCCATGATGCAATCGTGGTTCATTATTCACAAATCAAGCAATGTGATACCCCACATTAATAAAAGAAATGATAAGCACCATATGATCATTTCAAATGATGCAGAAAAAGCATTTGACAACGTACAACACCCATTCATGATAAAAACCCTCTACAGAGGAGGTTTAGAGGGAACATACATCAACACCATAAAGGCCATCTATGAAAAACCCACAGCTAATATTATCTTTTTTTTTTGCTTTACTCTTTATTTTTATTTTATTTTTTTATTTTTTTATTATGTTATGTTAATCACCATACATTACATCATTAGTTTTTTGATGTAGTGTTCCATGATTGATTGTTTGTGTATAACACCCAGTGCTCCATGCAGTACGTGCCCTCTTTAATACCCATCACCAGGCTAACCCATCCCCCATCCCCCTCCCTTCCGGAACCCTCAGTTTGTTTCTCAGAGTCCACAGTCTCTCATGGTTCGTCTCCCCCTCCGATTCCCCCCCTTCATTTTTCCCTTCCTGCTATCTTCTTAAATTGGGCAAAAACTGAGAGCTTTTCCTCGACAGTCAGGAAGAAGACAGGGATGTCCAATCTCACCAGTTATTTAACATTGTACCAGCCACAGCAAGCAGATAACAAAAAGAAATAAAAGGCTTCCAAATTGGCAAGGAAGAAGTAAAAATTTTAGTATTTCAGATGACACAATACTATATAAAGAAAACCCTAAAGACTTGACCAAAACACTGCTGGAAGTGATACATGAATTCAGTATAGTTGCAGGATACAAAATCAAAGTACAGAAATCTGTTGTACTTCTATACACCAATAATGAAGCAGCAGAAAGAGAAATTAAAGAATCAATTCCATTTACAATTGCAACCAAGATCATAAGATACCTAGGAATAAACCTAACCAAAGAGATGAAATCTGTACTCTGAAAACTATAAAACACAGATGAAAGAAATTGAAGATGACATGAAGAAATGGAAAGATATTCCATGCTCATGGATTGGAAAAACAAATATTATTACAATGTCTATACTACCCGAAGCAATCTACACACTTAATGCAATTGCTATCAAAATACCACCAGCATTTTTCACAGAGCTAGAACAAACTGCTAAAATTAATGGAACTGGGCGCCTGGGTGGCTCAGTCGTTAAGCGTCTGCCTTCGGCTCAGGTCATGATCCCAGGGTCCTGGGATCGAGCCCTGCCTTGGGCTCCCTGCTCAGCCGGGAGCCTGCTCCTCCCTCTCCCACTCCCCTTGCTTGTGTTCCCTCTCTCGCTGTGTCTCTCTCTGTCAAATAAATAATTAAATAATCTTTTAAAAAAATTAAAAAATAAATAAATAAAATTAATGGAACTACAAAAGTTCCCAAATAGTCAAAGCAACCTTGGGGAAAAAAAAAAAAGCAAAGCTGGAGGCATCACTATTCCAGACTTCAAGTTATATAACAAAGCTGTAGTAATCAAAACAGTATGGTGCTGGCACAAAAAAATAGACACAAAGATCAATAGAACAGAATAGAAATCCCAGAAATGAACCCACAACTATACCATCAATTTATCTTCAATAAAGGAGGAAAGGATATCCCATGGGAAAAAGAATTTCTCTTCAGCAAATGGTATTGGGAACACTGGACAGCCACATGCATAAGAATGAATCTGGACCACTTCCTTACATCAAACACAAAAATAAACTCAAAATGGATTAAAGATAAGAAACCATTAAAATACCAGAGGAGAACACAGGCAGTAACGTCTGACATTGGCCATAGCAACTTCTTTCTAGATATGTCTCCTGAGGCAAGGGAATCAAAAGCAAAAATAATCTCTTGGGACTTCATCAAAATAAAATGCTTCTGCACAGTGAAAGAAATAACAACAAAACTAAAAGGCATCCTATGGAGTGGGAGAAGATATTTGCAAAGGACATATCTAATAAATGGTTAGTATTCAAAATATATAAAGAGCTTATAAAACTTAACACCCAAAAATGAAAAATCCAATTAAAGTTGGGTAGAAGACATGAATAGACATTTTTCCAAAGAAGATATACAGATTGCCAACAGACACATGAAAAGATGCTCAACATTACTCATCATCAGGCAAATACAAAACTACAATGAGATTTCATCTCACATCTCTCAGAATGGCTAAAATCAACAACACAAGAAGCAATAGGTGTTGGTGAGAATGTGGGGAAAAGGGAACTCTCTTGCACTGTTGGTGGGAATGCAAACTGGTGCAGCCACTCTGGAAAATAGTATGGAGGTTCCTCAAAAAGTTAAAAATAGAACTACCCTATGATCCAGCAATTGCATTACTAGGTATTTATCCAAAGAATACAAAAATAATGATTCAAAGGGATACATGCACCCCGATGTTCATAGCAGCCTTATCGACAATAGGCAAATTCTGCAAATAGCCCAAGTGTCCACTGACTGATGAATGGATAAAGAAGATGTGGTACATATATACAATGGGATATTACTCAGCCATAAGAAATAATGAAATCTTGTCATCTGAAGCACATGGATGGAGCTAGAGAGTATTATGCTCAGTGAAATAAGTCAGAGTAAGGCAAATATCATAGGATTTCACTCATATGTGGAATTTAAGAAACAAAACAAAGGAGCAATCAGGGAAAAAAAGCCTTAACTATAGAGAACAAACAAACTCCCTTACCAACATGGAGCTGGGTGGGGGGATGGGTGAAATAGATGTTGGGGATTAAGGAGGGCACTTATTGGGATGAGCACTGAGTGTTTTATGGAAGTGTTGAATCACTATGTTGTACACCTGAAACAATATTACACTGTATATTAACTAACAGCAATTCAAATAAAAACCTAAGAAAAAGTAAACAAAATAGCCATGTATCCCAGATCTGCACCCTCAGGTAAGCAGAGACAGCATAAGCAAAGTGATGATTTTCCCTTAATTGGAAATTTGCTGCTGGTATTTGGAAAGAAACTTCAAATTCTTGGGTGTGCTCAAGTAAAGTAAAGTGGTGAGGTATATATATATATATTTTTGGCTGTCTGTTAGATATTTTCCAAATGTTTTATAATAAGCATGCATTCTGAAATAAAATAAAATATAGCAAATATTATGAAAATATTAAGTGGTACTTACTGATAGATGCCTCCAAAGCACCTTAAGTTTTTATTTCAGAAAATATCCTATATGTTAGCTTTGTTCTAGTCTGGATCCCTGCATTAAGCTCCACCCCTCCCACCCACCCCCTATCCCCCAGTCTACTCAATCTTCTGCCTTTTCTTTTTCTTTTATTTCTTTTTATTTGCATTTTCAGAAGTAAAAACTAAAAGCCTGTGAAATTAAAAGGGATAGGAAAAAAAATATTGGCTCTGAGGTACATGGAGATTCCAACAAATTTAAATTCTGTTTGCTATAGATTAAAACTATACAAATGCCTTTTCAACTGTGAATATTCATTTAGATGAAACCAAGCTAGGGTCAGAATTTAGAATATAGGATTTTACTTAGAATCTTCATAAAAGGGCATGTTATGAGTTGGAGTCATTTTAATGCATAAACATATCCATATTTTTAGATCTATACATTATATTAAATTTAAAACATCTTGTTAGAGCAGACAATGCATGCAGTTTGAAATCTTAGAATTTGGCAGGTCTTGGCATATGTAATTCACTACATAGACTGTAATAAAATAGTATGTTAAGACTAATAATATTTACAAATTTTTTCTGATAAGGTCTGGAAATGACAAAAACCTCAAATTAATATGTATACTTTTATTAAATATAATCATTTAGACTTTGAGTTCCCAAACTGGATAACACTGCCACCTTGTGGCAAACACTGATTATTGAAGGTTTTGTTTAAATACTAAAACAACTTAGTTTTTCCCTGATGTTATTACAGCTACAGTGTGAAGATATTTGCATGGCTGATGGAGGCAATCTCATTCTGTATTCCGAAGATGGGACAATTTGTGTTAAAAAGTAACTGAGCAAGAATATGCATTGTTGGTGTGTTCTCTTAAAATCAAAATTGCATGATACTCAAACCCAACATTCTTTAAAAAGAAAGTGAAAACCTACATGGCTTTCAAGTGATGTAAACGTTTATGAGCCAAAATACAGAAGGAACTATTTAACAGAGCTAGGTCACTAAACTGTAATTTCTAGTTTTACCTCTTTAAGGGATCAACTGGACATGTGCCTCCTCTAAAAAAGCAGAAAAATAAAGTCAAACATCCCCATGATAAATTATGCAAATGTTTTGATTTTAAAAAGCAAACAGCAAAATTCCTTCACCCCTTTCATGGCATTTCAGAAAAGCCAAAATGGTAACTGGGTTTTCCTAATTTTGTCTGAACTTTTCATTGTGTGACCTAAGTCAGGTTATCTAATGTCTCTGAATCTGTCTCCTGAAAAAATGGTCATAATAATATCATCTACATCACTGGATTGTTGTGAGGAAAAAATGAATTATTGCAAGTAAATTGTTCCTTAAAATCATGCCTGACATCACAGGAATCGTTCATAAAATTTTAGCTCTCATTATTATTACAAATGGATTGAGATCAAATTACCTACATATATATATGTTAGGTTTAGCATAATTCTGTGATGTGACTTGATTTGCCTGTCATTATATGAAAATGGGCCCTCTAGTTTCCATTTATAGCCAGTATAGGCCAAATGGTGATTGTGGCCCCACAGTTCTATTTACTGTTCTGTCCATGGGCTGGGCTTTGGACTCTGTCCCCATTCTGCCATGTATTAGACTTGAATAAACTACTTAATTCAAATTCCACTTTTTTATTAGTAAGTGTAGAACAACAGTATATATCTCACAGAGTTGCTTTGATGATTAAATGAAGTAATGCATATATAAGGCTCTTAACACAGTGTGAGACTTAAAATAACCTCAACCAAGGTACTCTGGTATAATCAAAAAACAAAAGTCACTCCATCTGTAACAATTTTAGCACCATTTATGTAATATACATTATTATGGAAATGAGCCAGCAAATAAAATGATGGGAGAAGGGTTCCTGTGAGGGAGGATGAGGTTAAAAGATAATCTTGATTTCAGAGATATGGGGGTGGAGAATAAGCATAGTGTGTGCAAGAGGCAGGATAGTGTGACGGTAAAATGCCTGAAAATGGAGTTGAATACACCTCTGCCTGAATTCAGGCTCTTCCCCAACTGTTGAGGCCTTGGTTAGTTTACCAAATCTTTTTAACTATTTTCTGAAGTGGGGATAATAGGATTGCTATGGGATTAAATGACAAAATGTAATGTGCTTCCCACTGAGCCTAGGTCATAAAATAAGTCAATAAATAGTAACTAGTTATTTTTAATTATTTGTAAAGAAATATTTTCTGCATTAGAGACTTGGGCACCTCATTAAGACAAACTTTTTAAGCATTCTAGTTTCTATGCCTATGGGAAAGAGGTGGTAAGTGGAAGTAAGGACAGAAATAGGAAGTGAATTATTTCAGGGCCGGGGCAAAGGGAAAACAGAATTAAAGCAACTATCTTTGAATTGAGTGGTTAAAATAGCAGGCACTTTTAGGGAGAACGCCAAGCATAAGCTCTCAGACTCCTTCCAGTTTCTTGCTCCACCCTCTTAAGCTCCAGGAAAGGAGAAAATAAAGTGGTGGTCAAGCAGGCTCTGTCCCTCACCACATGGGGGAGCACTTAGGCACGTAAATATGAGCATTGTGACTTCCATCACTATGATGCAGTGGCTGTGCAAGGGGGTGAAGCAGTAATACTCCCCCAGGGTCATTTTCTTCCCCTCACTTCCGGCCTGTTGGCAGAGAAAGGCCAGATGACAACCTGAAACCCAGCCAAGCCTACAGCTGTAATCGCTGGTGAGGTCAACTCCAGCAAATCAGAGGCATCAGTAATCTTCTTTAGGTAGTCCTTTATTTTCCCCATTCTCATCTTGATAGAGGGGTCTCAAAGTACGAATCAAGTTGAGAAAAAACAGAAACGTCCTAAAGCCTCCCACTACAGCGCTGTAGTTAAGGCCTCCTGCTCCATCAAGATTAACTTAGTCACTGGCCAACCCATCATCTGCCAGCCAGCCCTCAGCCAACCAGTCATAAGTCAACAAGTCCTTAGCCAACCAGGAATGAATCAACTTGGCATGAACCAATCAGGCATGAAACAATCAAGCTTACCAGACATGAACCAACCAAGGATGAGCCAGCCAGGCATGGGCTCATTTGGTGCGAACCAACTGGGCGTAAACCAACCAAATACAAGCTTACCTGACATGAACCAACTGAGCATGAAACAACCAGTCAGGAGCCAACCAGGCACATGGCAACCAGGTATGAGCCAACAAGGCCTGAGCCAACCACGCATGTGGCAACCAAGCATGAGGCAACCATGCTGGAGCCAATTCAGCAGAAGTGAACTAAGCATGAGGCAACCAGGCCCAAGCCAACCATGCACAAGTCAACCAGGCCTGAGACAACCAGGCCTGAGCCAATTCAGTATGAGTCAATCAGGCATGAGGCAACCAGGCTGGAGCCAATCAGGCACAAGTCAAGCAGGAACAAGCCAAGCAGGCATGAACCAACCAAGTCCAAGCCAACCAGGCATAAGGCAACCAGGTAGAAGCCAATCAGGCATGAGGCAACCAAGCATGAATTCTTTCCGAGTAAGACCTGCAGAGGCTCATGACTGCCCAGAAATCTTGCGCCTAATTAAAGTAAGCATCTTTCTCCTTATTCTGGGGAGTTTCATGGCATTAGTTTAGGGCTGAGAGTAAGGAAGGCATAGGTTGGTTTGAATCCAAGCTCTGCTAATTATGACCCATGTAAACAACCTTCTGGAAGTTACTGAACCTCTCTAGGTTTCAATTTTCACATCTAAAATCAAGATCATAGTACTATCTATATCAAAAGATTGTTGTAATAATGTAAAATAATTACACATAAATTTCTTGACTTAAAGTAGTGGGCTCAGGAAGTGGGGGGGGAATGAATTCATGGATATTTCAGAGACCTAGTATGTTGTCCATCCTGGGGAAATTTTATCTTTAAGAGGATCTTAGAGAAAAGGAATGTTTCACTTAAATGAATGACCTATCAGTAATAGAATTTCAGGTATTAATGTATGAGATTTTAGGGTAGAAATTCTTGTTGCTTTTAAGACCACACCTACATGTAGAAGCTAATGATTGTGCCGAAAAAATATTCATCCCGAACAAATTTTCCATGCAATTTCAGACAGTTCTTTGACTCCTGAAGCCCATCCACGCCCATCCACAGACAACCTCCAGGAGTCCAAGGAGTTGGGTTAAAAATGTCTGATTTAAAAATTCACTTTTTTTAAAGATTTTATTTATTTTATTTGAGAGAGAGAATGAGAGAGAGAGCACATGAGAGGGGGGAGGGTCAGAGGGAGAAACAAACTCCCTGCTGAGCAGGGAGCCCGATGCGGGACTCGATCCCGGAACTCCAGGATCATGACCTGAGCCGAAGGCAGTCACTTAACCAACTGAGCCACCCAGGCGCCCTAAATTACTTACTCTTATAGACATGAGACATTATTTACTCATAGGTATGAATGTAATAATTAAGTAGCTTTGAGCTTTATGTTCTAATAATCTGAAAGTGGGCAATGATTTCCCAAGCATGAGATCCAAACCATGTATTAATTTGAATGTGCAAAAAAATGATATAGTGAAAAGCCACATTGACAAAGTCTAAAGTTAAACTGGGAAAAACACCTCACAGGCAAACATGACAGACGTTTTGTAAAGTCTACTAGCTTTATTGTATATAGACTTTGTGAAATCTACCTTGAATATTCAGGAACATTTTTAACTTTACTTCAACCTTTTTGGTTGTAGTCAACCTGTGGACAACCTATCTTCATGAGTGAGTTATTGACATAGTTGATCTTCTCTCTACATACACTTAGATTTTAAGGTTCTAGATGACTGGAGTTAATTCTCACTCACTTTTATTAATGCCGACTGGGACATCTTATGTTAATAAATGCTCAATAAATAAGTGCTCAAGAAAAACTTCATGATTATCATCTTAAGAATTTATTATTAAGCCATAAACTGAAAGTTTTCTCTACTTTGATAGGAACTGGCTTCCTGTGAAAACATGCTAGATTCAGTGAAGTTAACAGTAACAGGTAAGATGTTTTATAGTATTTTCAGAGCTAAAAAAAGAAACATGGCATAATGTATACACTCATACCTACTTGTACCTAGGTATGTGGAAGCTGCTGTCTTTGGTACACAAAGATGATGCCATTAATAGTGCCTACCTGTGCAGGACATTAGTTTGGTAGCTTTGTCAGTGATCCACTATATTTTCCCCATTTTTTAAGTACGAAATTCATATTTAAGAGCTTTTACATCTTATGGCTGAAATAGACTTCAACTAATTTTCAAAATGTAGAATGAGAAATGTAACTGCTCAAAGAAAGTGAATTTAATGCCCAATACGTTGGCAGTAGCCAAATAGGATGAAATAGATAAACAGAAAATGACCGACTATTTTCAAGATAGTCACTACATTTTGATAGCAATACAAATAGATACATTTGATAATGTTAAAAGGATAGGCTAGTGTTTTACAATGAATTAGAACTTTTTAGGCAGGAAATATAAACAATAAGAGAGGATTAAAGCATATAAAATTACACACTTAGAATTCCAAATGAATTTGAGGATGGGCTTTACCATTTCTGTGAAAAGAGATAGGGACTGGAATTTTGATAGCCATTGCATTAAATTTTTAGATCACTTTGGGTAGTACTGACATCTTAACAATGTTATGTCTTATCTATGAATACAAGAGGTCTTTCAACTTATTTAAGTCCTTTTCTTTCAGCAATGTTTTTTGTAGTTCTCAGCATGCAAATATTTCACCTCTTTGGTTATATTAATTCCTAGTTATTTATTTTAGGGGCTACTGTAAATGGAGTTGTTTTCTTAGTTTACTTTTTAGTTTGCTCTTTTTGTGTATAGAAACAAAAATGACTTTTGTTTGTTGATCTTATAGCTTGCAAATTTGCTGAACCCCTTTATTAGCTATAGTAACTTTCTTTTGGATTCTTTGAGGTTTTTTATCAGTAGGATTGTGTCATCGGCAGAGATCATTTTACCTCTTTCTAATTTAGATAGCTTTTATTTCTTTTTCTTTTCTAATAGTTTTGGCTATAACTTCCAGTACAATGTTGAAAAGCAGTAGTAAAAGTGGGCATCCTTGTCTTCTTAATCTTAGGGGGGATGCTTTAAGCCATTCACCATTGAGCATGAAGTTAACGGTTTTTTATAAGTACCCTTTATAATGTTGAAGAATTTTCCTCTATTCCTGGTTTTCTGAGGGCTTTTGTCATGAAAGTGTATTGTATTTTGTCAAATGCCTTTCCTGCATCAATTGAGATGTTCATGTGCTTTTTTCCTTTTGTTCTGTTAATATGATGTATTATATTGATTTCTTATGTTGAACCATCCTTTCTTTCCTAGGGTAAATCACACCATACAGTACATCATAGTTTTTGATGTAGTGTTCCGTGATGCATTGCATATAACACCCAGTGCTCCATGCAATACATGCTCTCCTTAATACCCATCACCAGGCTAACCCATCCCCCCACCCCCTCCCCTCTAAAACCCTCAGTTTGATTCTTGGAGTCCATAGTCTCTCATGGTTCATCTCCCCCTCTGATTTCCCCCCCTTCATTTTTCCCTTCCTTCTCCTAATATCCTCCATGCTATTCCTTATGTTCCACAAATGAAACCATATGATAATTGCCTCTCTCTGTTTGACTTATTTCATTTAGCATAATCTCCTCCAGTCCCACCCATGTTGACGCATCCGGAAAGGATGCAAAAGTTGGGTATTCCTCCTTTCTGATGGCTAAGTAATATTCCATTTATTTATTTGAGAAAGAAAGCCAGAGAGAGCAAGAGTGGGGGAAGGGGCAGAGGGAGAGGGAGAAGCAGATTGGGGAGCTGGCCATGGGGTTAGATCCCACGACCTGGGATCATGACCTGAGCCAAAGGCAGATGCTTAACCGACTGAGGCACCCAGGCGTCCCTTTTGTGATGTCTTTACCTGTCTTCAGTATCAAAGTAATACTGACTTCATAGAATGAGTTAGGAAATGTTTCCTCCTCTTCACACTTTTTTGGAAGAGTTTAAGGATTATGTTAGTTCTTCTTTAAATGTTTGATAGAATTCACCAGAGAAACAATCTCCTGTTTCCTGACTTTACTTTGTTGAGAAATTTTTTTTTGATTACTGATTCAAACTCTCGTTACAGGTGTGCTCAGATTTTTTCTTGAATCAGTTTAGGTCATTTGTAAGTTTCAAGGAATTTCTTCATTTCTTCTGGGTTATCTAATTTCTTGGTGTAAAGTTCATAGTATTTACTTATAATCCTTTTCATCTCTGTAAGGTCAGTAGTAGTGTTGCTTTATTTCTGATTTTAATTAACTTGCATCTTCTCTCTTTTTTGTCAGTCTAGTTTTCAATTTGTTGATCTTTTCAAAGATCCAAATTTTCGTTTTACTGATTCTTCCCTATTGCACTTTTTCCCTTTATTTTGTTTATCTCTGCTCTAAACTTTACTATTACCTCTCTTCTGTTAGCTTTGGGCTTAGTTTGCTCCTTTTTTCTAGTTTCTTAAGGTATAAGGTTAGGTTATTGCTTGAGATCTTTTTTTTTTTTAATGTAGGCATTTATAGCTACAAGTTTCCAAGCACTGCTTTCAGTGCATTCTATAAGTTTCATATGTTGTATTTACATTTTCATTCATCTCTAAGTGTTTTCTAATTTCCCTTGTGATTTTTCTTTGACCTATTGGTTGAGTGCATTAATTTCTACATATATGTGATATTCCTAGTTTCCTTCTGCTGTTGATTTCTAGTTTCAATCCACTGTGATTGGGAAAGATACTTTGTATGATTTCAATCTTTCAAAATTTATTGACTTGTTTTGTGGCCTAACATATGGCCTATCCTAGACAAAATTCCATGTGCACTTGAGAAAAATGTGCATTATGTTGTTGTTGGGTGGAGTGTACTGTGTATTTCTTTTAGGTTCATTTGATCTATATTGTTGTTCAAATAATCTAGCAAATTATTTATCTTCTGTCTGGTTGTTCAATACATTATTGAAATTGAAGACCTGAAGTTTCCTACTATTATTGTAGGGCTATTTTTCTATCTTCAATTCTGTCAGTATTTGCTTCACTTATTTTGGATCTCTGATTGGTACATAAATGTTTATAAATGTTGTATCTTCTTGGTGAATTGACCCTTTTATTATTAAATAACCTCCTTGTCTCTTGTAACATTTTTAACTTAAAGTCTATTATGTTTGATATACTACAGCCACCTCAGCTCTCTTGGTTACTATTTGCATGAAATATCTTTTTTCCATTATTTCACTATCAACCTTTCTCTGTGTGTGTGTGTTTTTAAATCTAAAGTGAGTCCCCTATAGGCAGCATAGAGTTGGATCATTTTTTTAATCCATTATGCTCATCTCTGTCTTTTGATTAAACTATTTAATCCATTTACATTTAAAGTAAATGAGGAGGGACTTCTGTCACTTTGCTGTTTTCTATATGCCATACAGGCTTTTTGTTCCTCATTTCCTCCACTGCTACCTTCTTTTGTGTTTTGTTGGATTTTTGTATTGAAATATTTTGATTCCCTTCTCATTTCCTTATGTGTATATTTTATAGATATTTTCTTTGTGGTTATTATGGAAATTACATTTAACATCCTAAAGTTATAATAATCTAATTTGAATTTATACCAGCTTAATTCCAATAGCATACAAAACTCTTCTCTTATACATCTCCATTTCCCCTCTTTTATGTTACTGATGTTACAGGTTACATCTTTGTACATTGTGTGCCCAATAACATATATTAATAACTAATTTTATGCAGTTGTTTTTAAATTATGTAGAAAATAAAGAGTGGAGTTATAAACAAAATTAAAATAACTCTAGCCCTTATAATTGCCCATGCATTTACCTTTAACTAGGTACCTTTACTTTTATCTTTATTTCTTTATGTGTCTTTGAGTTACTGTCTAGCTTTCTTTCATGTCAACCTGAAAGACTTCTAGCATTTTATGCAGGGCAGGTCTACTGATAGTGAAATCCCTCAGGTTTTTGTTTCTTTGTTTTTGGTGGTGATCTGGGGATGTCTCAATTTCTCCCTCATTTCTGAAGGGCAGTTTTGGTAGAGATACAATTCTCAGTTGATAGGCTCCCCCAGCACTTTGAATAGATAAACTCACAGCCTTCTGGTCTCCAAGGTTTCTGATGAGAAATCAGATGATAACCCTATTGATGATTCATTGTACATGACAAGTTCCTTCTCTCTTGCTGCTTTCAGAATTTTCTCTTTGTCTTTCAGCAGTTTGATTATGTGTCTTAGTGTCGTTCTTTTTGGTTTATACTTCTTGGAGTTGTTGAGCTTCTTGGATTTGTAGATACATTAATTGATTCAAATTTGGGAAGTTTTCAGCCATCATTTCTTTAAATATTCTTTTTTTCCTTCTCTCTTATCATGCTAAGAATCTGCCTTATAGAGTGCATATTGGCCCACTTGATGGTGTTCCACAAAGCCCTTAGGCGCTGTTTATTTTTCTTCATTTTTTTTGGAAAGATTTTATTTATTTGACAGAGAGAGCGAGAGAGCACAAGCAGGGAGAACAGTAGAGGGAGAGGGAGAAGCAGGCTCCCCGCTGAGCAGGGAGCCCAATGCGGGGCTCGATCCCAGGACTCCGGGATCATGACCTGAGCCGAAGGTAGACGCTTAACCATCTGAGCCACCCAGGCGCCCCTCTTCATTGTTTTTCTTTCAGTTCCTGACTTGGTAATTTCAATTGTCTTATATTCAAATTCACTATTTTTTTTCTTCTGCTAGCTCAATTCTGATTTTGAACCTCTACAGTGCATTTGTCAATTCAGTTATTGTACATAATTATCAGCTTCAGAATTTTTGGTGGGGGTTCTTTTTTTTATAATTTGTATTTTGTTACTGAGATTCTTATTTTGTTCATACATTTGTTTCCTGTTTTTGTGCCTGTCTTTCCTTTAGCTCTTTGAGCATCTTTAAGACAGTTGTTTTAGTCTTGTTCTAATACATGTGGGCTTCCTCAGGTATGTTTTCTATTGATTTACTTCATTCTTTTGAATGGGGCATAGTTTCCAATTTCTTTGTATGTCTTGTGATTTGTTGTTGAAAACTGGACATTTGAATTTTATGTTAACTCTGGAAATAAAATTCTCCCCCTTCCCCAGGGATGGCTCGTTTTTTTTGTTTTTGTTTTTTATTGTTATAGGCTATCTCTGTAAGAGATCAGCCTGAGTTAAATGTTTAAGGTGTTCCGAGGTCTTTTCTAAGTCTGTCTTTCCCTGGTCATGCATGGTAGCTTTCTAAATTCTTGTGTGGCTCTTTTTACATCTGGAAGCTGCTTTCATTGGTGGAGGTTGGAAAAATGGTGGCCCACTTTTAAGCTCTCACTTCAGCATTAAGAGTAGCAATCCATGAGCAGAACACAGAACTCCAGTATTTGGAGGATAAGTCCCCTAAGGCCTACCCTGGCTCCAGCAATCACTCAGCAATTCATGTTGCTATCTGTACAGCTGCTGCCATGAGGCAAGGGGGCAGGGGAGACTTGTAAGCCACCAGTAGGCTGATAGCTGAATTTGACCAAAATTAACTGCAGTTTAGCAGCCAAGCTGTCCTCTGGAAGTTGTAAGTGTTCAAATAAACTCTAGAGTTCCAGAATATTCACTGCCAGTATAGTTGTAGAGGTGAAGAGATTAACTCCTGGTGCTGCCTACTCTACCATCTTCCTTTTCTTTATTATAAACTTTCTAACATATTGTATATGAATTTATATTTCAGATTTACTCAGAGATGGCTTTGGGGACAATCCCCTTTTCTACTGCCTAATTGCAGAAGTACACAATCAACAAAAACCATCAGGTAAAACAAATCTGCCTCTTCCAATTTAATCTGGGGTATACTTTCTCTACCCTGAAAATGAAGAACAGTTTGATAGCACAGAATTACTATTAAACAGAGTAGAAGAGTATAAGTACATAAACTTTGTTTTTTGTTTTGTTTTGTTTTTACAGAAAATGTGTGGTATGTATTTGTATATGCATAGGAAAAAATTTGGAAAAATATACATTATTAAAAGATGGCCTTTGTTTTAAGATTGTGTTACAAGGGACCTAAACCTACATTATGTATTTTTGTACTGTTTGATATTTTGTCCAGTAAGCTTTTATTAGTTTAATAAAGAAAACACTAAGATATTCAATTTTAGAGGAAAGAACACTCTAAGATTCAAAGCATTAATCTCGTTGTACCTTCTCTTCCCTCTTCTAGGCAAAGTGACTGTTGGATTTGCCATGTACTACTTTACGTACGATCCCTGGATTGGCAAGTTACTTTACCTAGAGGACTTTTATGTCATACAATCTTACCGAGGTCGAGCTACACTTATATTTAAAAATTAAAATGGCATATTTTAAGGAGTAGAGATAGGGCTTCACTATAAATATGGTATTTAAGTTAGTTTATGTAACTCATTTCTATTTCATGAGACTGATCACTATCCTAGTTATCCTTGCATATGGGAAAAACTCAATCACAAATTAGAAAATGACTTTCTTTTTAGTTCCCATCAAAGCTTGAATAAGCCAAATTATCACAGCTATCCTTTTATCTTTAAAAAATGTGTTTATATTTTAGGTTGTTTCGTCTGGAAGTGAATAAGAAATATACTATATTATGAGAGTGACAGGGACTCATTTCTGCTTCACCAATCTTTAAATCCAAAATCTTTTCTATTACCTTTGGAACCACTTTACAATTAGGAAGAAGATATTAAAAACATTCATGAGTTAAGTTTCAACACAAGCTATTAAGAATATATAACAGCCACATATAGGGTTTCATATTTTACTTCTTTAAGATTAAAGCAAAACTTGTTAAGTGGATTTTTAAAATTTGTGTCATTTTCCATTATCTATTTAAAAGGTCTAGGTATTGGAGTTGAAATGCTGAAGAGGTTAAGTCAGGTATGTATTACATTTAGTATTGGTATTCTGTATGTTGTCATTTTCTTCATTAAATATTATTTAACAGGGTGTAAATTAGATAATTTATCTCACCTTCTGAACATAACCTCAAAACATTACTTATTTTTTATTTCAATTAAAATAGATCTTCAAATCAGGTAGTCATATAATTATATTTGAATTATGTTTAATCAAAAATTGATTTCTATGTAACCCACAACCATACTATACACCACTTTGCTACAAAGCAGAAGTAAGCAAGAGGGAGATTAGAAGGCAATTCTACCTATAAAATAGGTCCATGGTATGAATATAAGAATAGCATGAAAATGACTTCTAGGAAGTTGGAGTAGGAGCCTCCTAAGCTCATTTTGTCCCAGGGACACACCTAGAAAACAGCCACATCAGTGCAACCAACCCAGAAAATGACCTAAAACTAGCAGAACAGACATCCCACAGTTAATCAAAGGGAGGAGTCTACATTGAAAAGGGTAGGAGAGGCAGAGACTAGGTCAAGAACCAGATTCCTGGGGAGACTAACCACAAATGGGAGGGACACCACAAGCACATAGAAGGGAGAGGATCAGACCCCACAGCAGGCAACCCAGGCATGGGGGATCTGCATTGGAGACAAGTGCCTGTAACATTTGGCTTTGAAAACCATGGGTCTTTAACTTCTCGAATTTTTACAACCAGTTGGGCTTAACTCCAGGAACGTTAAAAATCAGTGGGCTTAGTGCTGAGAGTGAGAGGGCAATAGGAAATGGAGTCCCCAACCTTAAAGAGACAGCATAACAAACAACCCCACCAAGACAGAACACAGGAGCAGCAGTATGAAAAATGCCTAGGGTATCCATGAAGACTTATTTACAAATCTCAGAATATGTGCTGGAGGGGCAGGGATCTTTAGGAGACTATGCCAAGAATAAAAAAGTTGGTGGGAGCCATTTCTTTCTCCCCAAACCCCTACTTCCCAGCCTAGATAGCTGGATACTTGTGGGAAACGGGGTATGCTGCACCTACCTTGCTAATACCAAACATCCCACCCCACATTCTCCTGTGGATCCACTCCATCCATTTCACCCCACTCAGCAGGAGTCTCTCCAAAGCAGCTCCTGTCAGGTCTTATTCAAGCAGCTCTGGCAGTGACCTGCACCAGTCCAAAATGACTTCTGCCTTGTGGAGAGGGAAAGATAACCCCACACATCAGTTCGACTGCAGCCCTAGCAGCCAAACCTAATAACTGGCAGTGCAGAGAGTGCCCTGCTGATCAGTGGGTCTGCAGCACCAGCACATGGACTGGGGGCAGGCACCTGATACGATAACTGGCTTTGTCCACCGACAAAAACCTCAGGGGTAGCAGAGGGAGAGACTTCTGCAGTTTGGTGTCACTGCAGCCATGGCATTGGGGACAGGCATCTGGTCTGTCAGCCTTGCCCACCAATAAAAGCCTCTCAAGGTACAAGGTAGGGAGAGCACCCTGCAGGTGGGTGCTACCACAGCCCTAAGAGACAAACTGGGGATAGCATTTGATTTGTTTATAGCCACTGCCCACCAACATAAGCCTCTTAGGAGACAACACAGGGAATGCACTCTGCAGTCTGGTATGACTTCATCCCCAGCAAACTGGGCTTAGGGCAGGCATTTTGGTGACTGCTGACAATGCCCAACTATAAGCCTACTGCCACAGAATGGCCCTTTAACAGCACAGGACCAAATATGGCCCACAAAAATCAAAGCAGGCCATTGCAGCCAACTGGACTGAAAGCAAATGAGGCTTAGCCACAACAGTAGGGCACACACAAACCAAATAGAAGACACCCATGAAGCACCTGGTTCTGGTGAACAGGAGACATTGTGTTACGGGGCACCACAGGACCTCTTCTTTGTAAGGCCACTACATTCAAGATCAGGAGACATAACTGATTTTCCTTACATATAAACAAACACAGAGAATTAGACAAAATAAGACAGAGGAATATATCCCAAATGAAAGACCAGGATAAAACCACAGCAAAAGAGCTAAATGAAATGGAGACAAACAAGTTACCTGATAATGAATTCAAACTAATGGTCCTAAGATACTGGACTTGAGAAAAGTGGAAAATCACAGGAAAACCTTCAACAAAGAAATAGAAAACAAAAAAGTAACCAATCAGGGATGAATAATTTAATAACTGAAATGAAAAATAGACTAGAGGGAATCAATAGATTAGAGGAGGCAGAAGAACAGATCAGTGACCTGGAAGACAGAGTAATGGAAAGCAACAAAGCTGAACAGGAAAAAGAAAAAAAAAATACAAATGAGAATATGTTTAGGGAACTCAGCAACATCATCAAACCTAATAAAATTCGCATTATATTGATCCCAAAGAGAGAAAAGAGAAGGGGGCAGAAAATTTATTTGAAGAAATAATAGCTGAAAACTTCTCTAACCTGGGGAAGGAAACAGATACTCAGATCCAGGAGGCACAGAGAGTCCCCAAGAAACTCAACCCAAGGAGAGCCACACCAACACACATAATAATTAAAATGGCAAAAAAGTAGTGATAAAGAGAGAATTTTAAAAGCAATAAGAGAAAAGTTACAGACAAGGGAAATCCCATAAGGCTATCAGCTGATTTTTCAGCAGAAACTGCAGGCCAGAAAGGACTGACATGATACATTCAAAGTGATGAAAGGAAAAAACTTGCAACCAAGAATACTCATTTCATGGCTACCCAGCAAGGCTATCATTCACAACAGAAGTAGAAATAAAGAGTTTCCCAGACAAACAAAAAGCAAAACAGTTCATCACAACTAAACCAGCCTTAGAAGAACTATTAAAGGGAATTCATTGAGTGGGAAGAAAACATGATAGCCAGGAGTAAGAAATTATGAAAGGAAAAAGCTTCAGTTAAATACAAACAAACAAAAAAAAGTCATAGATGAATCACTTATAAAACCAGTATGGAGGTTAAAGCACAAAAACAGTAAGACCAGGTGTATCTATAAATATCAAGTCAAAGGATTCACAAAATGAAAGGGCGTGAAGTAGGACATATACATAAAATGGTGGGGGGAGGATAAAAATTTACTGCTTTTAGAATGGGTTCTTAAAAAGGGGCGCCTGGGTGGCTCAGTCGGTTAAGAGTCTGTCTTTGGCTTAGGTCATGATCCCAGGGTGCTGGGATCGAGCCCCACATCGGGCTCCCTGATGAGCAGGAAGTCTGCTTCTCCTTCTCCCTCTGCCATTCTCTCCACTTGTGCTCTCTGGCTCTATTTCTCTGTTGAATAAATAAACAAAATCTTTTTAAAAAATAGAATGGGTTCAAACTTAATCGACCATCAACTTAATATAGACTGCTACACTATATGCATGTTATATATGAGCCAAATGGAAACCATAAATCAAAAATATCTAATAGATAAACAAAAAATTAAGAGAAAGGAACCCAAGCATATCACTATAGAATGCTATCAAAGACAAGGAAAGTGCAAGAGAAAAAAGTAATAGAGAAGAACAGCAAAAATACCTGTAAAACAGGTAACAAATGGCAATAAGTACATACCTATCAATAATTACGTTGAATGTAAATGAACTAAATGCTCCAATCAAAAGACATAGGGTGACTGAATGGATTTAGAAGCAAGACCCAATGATAAGCTGCCTACAGGAGTCTCCCTTCAGAACTAAAGTTACATGCAAATTGAAAGTGAAGGGATGGAAAGATATTTACCATGTTAATGTAAGTGAAAAGAAAGCTGGGGTATGAATACTTAGCGAAAATAAACTTTAAAACAAAGACTGTAACAGGAGACAGAGAAGAACACTACATGATTATGAAGGGAACAAGCCAACAGGAGGATATAATCATTGTAAATATTTATGCACCCAATATAGGAGTATCTCATACATAAAGCAACTATTAACAGACATAAAGAAAGAAAAACATGACATTAATACAATGATAGTAGGGGACTATAATCCTCAGTTATATTAATGGATAGACCATCCAGACAGAAATCAAGGAAAGAGTGGCTTTGAATGAAACATTGGACCAGATATATCTAAAAGATATACTCAGAGCATTCCATCCCCAAACAGTGGAATACACATTCAAGTGTATCTGAAATGTTCTCCAGAACAGATCACAGGTTAGGCCACAAAACAAGTCTCCATAAACTCAAAAAGATTAAAATTTATCATGCATCTCTTCTGACTACAATGATATGAAACTAGAAATCAAACACAAGAAAAAATCTGGAAAGAACACAAATACCTCGAGGCTACAAACATGTTATTAAACAATGAATGGGTCAACCAAGAAATCAGAGATAAAAAAAACACATGGAGGCAAATGAAAATGAAAATACAATGATCCAAAATCTTTGGGATCCAGGAAAAGTTGCTTTAAGAAGGAAGATTATAGCAATATAGGTCTACTTGATAAACTAAGAAAAAGCTCAAATAAAGAACTAACCTTACACATAAAGGAGCTACAGGGAGAGAACAAAGCCCAAAGCCAGTAGAAAGAAGAGGATAACAAAGCATGCAGCGGAAATCAATGAAATAGAGACTAAAAAAGGAAAAACAACAACAACAACAACAATACAACAGATAAATGAAACCAGGAGCTAGTTCTTTGAAAATGTCAACAAAATTGAAAACCTTTAGCCAGATTCATCAAAAAAAGGACTCAAATAAAATTAAAAGTGAAGGACAAATAATAACCAATAATTCAGAAATATTAAGGATTATGAGATTATGAAAAATTTTATGCCAACAAATTGGACAACCTAGAAGAAATGGATAAATTCCTAGAAAAATATGACCTTCGAAAACTGAATGAGGAAGAAATAGATAATTTGAACAGAATGATTACTAGCAATGAAATTGAATCAAGCAATCAAAAAACTCCAAACAAAAGTTAGGACCAGAGGGCATCACAGGTGAATTCTACCAGACATTTAAAGAAGAATTAACACCATTTATTCTCAAACTATTCCAAAAAATGGAA